GGTGAGGAAAACTGCTTCTCTCTCAGACTCCTGGCGGATGTCAGATAAGGTAGACGGGCTCTGCGTGTGGGTGGGATGTGTAATGTCTCTTTCCTCGCAATGAAGATTTAATTGTCGTTGGTGAGGAAAACCGCTTCTCTCTCAGACTGCTGGCGGATGTCTGATGAGGTAAACGGGCTCTGCATGTGGGTGGGATGTGTAATGTCTCTTTCCTTGCAATGAAGATCTAATTGTTGTTGGTGCGAGAGGGTTACTGGTAACAACGTGGCGAGCAGATGTGAGCTTCTGTTGGACGTCAGCCGGTGATTTAGGGACAGGAGCCACTGTACGACGACTATAATGCTTTGGACAGCTAGTGCCGTGTTAGGGTCTTAGGGATTTTCATCCGTTAGTAGATGATGACGGTTCACTTATTCCTTATTGTCATCAGCTCGCGCTGATTACGTCCCTGCTCTTTATAGACACCGCCCGTTGCTCTTACGGATTTAAATGGCCAGAGAGGTTTTAAAACGGTCCGGTTTCAAAGAGGTTTAAAAAAGGTCCAGTTTCAAAGAGGTTAGAAAAGGAATAGATGGATGATGCAGAGACTAAGGGCCTCGCCACACCAGTGTCGCAGTTTTTCGACATTTCTGCATCGCCACACCAGGTGCCGAAAATTTTTTTGCCAAATCTTTTCGACATGTGTCAGTGAAGAGTTTTCGACATGGGCTGTTCCCCACTCGAAACCTCGCGCCTGCGGCAGGCCGAAACTCGAAACCACGAAAGGGAGCGTGTCAAAAAATGTGCGGATTTTGACATTTTTCAGGATGCGGCCTCAACATCTCGTGTCTCCTTCTTCTTCTTTTTTTTTTCCCCCCCCCTTTATCCTTGGTCTTCGACATGCCGTGTGGCAAAGGCGGCCATTGTGTCGAAACCGTGAATGTCGAAAACGGTTTCACAGTTTCAAAATTTTCACGGTTCGACATTGGTGTGGTGAGGCCCTAAGCTAGACACAGAAAAGGGTTTTAGCCAATTTGAAGCGGAGGCGGCCTTGTGGTAGAGAAAGGAGGCCAACTCAGAAGTGGAAGCAGTTTTAAGTTTTAACAGAAACAAGTGGACCCGCCGCAGCCACGCTGCGGCCGAGGAGGGGGACGGACAGCGGGGTGCGGCTGTTGTTATCACACTGCTTGGGCTTTTTTTTTTTTTTTTGTCGTCATGTTCGTTTTACACTTAAAAAAAACATGACTGTGGCAAAAAAAAGAAAAAAAAAAAAAGGAAATTCCAAGAGTTAATTAGCACCAGCAAACTGCTTTCCTTTTTCTTCTTTTTCTATTTCCCTTTTGTTCCCCATTTGGTTTTGGCCTTGGGAGGGTATAGTACTCACACTAGGACATTTTCTACTTCGCTCTGGTCGTGATTGCGGTCATATTCATTCAGGTCCAGCCCTAATTGCAGTCAGATACTTTTAGTGAAGTGCTGTGTGAGTACTCCCTGAGAATGGAAGAAAAACAAGATTTTGGCCTTCTACTGTCTTGTGCCTGTCTCTCTTGCAATGCCCTAATTCTCTGTACAAGATTCTGAAAAGTAATATATTGCAAGAAATTTTCAGCAAT